TGAGAAAAATACAAAAATATGAAAATCAGAATATTCATGACAACCATCGTTCGAGTGATACTCTCATTGAGAAAATCATCCATTTCATATTTTTTAGGCAAAAATCTTTCTTAAGCCCCTCAACTTTTTTGACAGCAAGTGACAAGCTCCTGAACTAAAAAGAGTGGCAAATAAGCCCTCCAACCCCACGATGGGTGCAAATCAGCCCCTCCGCTAACTGACTTCATGACGCCGTTTGTCATCGGCTTATGTGGCATTGCACCTGCACGCCTTTGTATGTTTTTTTTCCTTTACTTCATTTGATTTTAGTAATAATAAATTTTTTTCAGACCCCATGTGAGGAGTGGTGATCACGCTGTTTTTGGGTTAGAGATGGCAATTTCTCCCGATCTTTATGAGGTCTCGTAACGATTTCCGTCACAGGGACAAGATGGGGATGGAGAGCATTTTCCTCTTATGAAATTTCACGGAGAATTTTCCTCATCCCGTGGAGCCACGCGGGGATCTCAATCCTTGCAAAAATTAAAATAAATATAAATTAATTTTATTTTAAATTTAATTCATCTTTCAAATTCAAACCCAAATTTAAACCCAAATCCAAATTCAAATACAAGCCCAAACTCAAGTTCAAACTCAATTCAATCAAAATTAAACTTAACTCAATTTTACCTAACCCAACCCAACCCAACCCAATCCATAAAAATTAACCCAATTCATTCCCCTACTTACATTTAGCCTTAACCCTAATTCATTTCTCAATTTTCATTTTCACCTTCCCCTTTATTGTTGGTTTAATTTTTGTTTATGTTTTAGTTTAGTTTGGATTAATTTTTGTTTATATTTGGAACAAATTTGTTAATTGTTGGTTTAGTTATTTATGTTGAATTGATTTTTATTTATATTTGGACAATTGATATTTGATTTTATATTTAAAAATTTTAGTTAATTATATTTGAATTTTTAGAATTTTATTCATTATAATTGAATATTAATTAATTATATATAAAAAATAAAAAAATTTATAATTTAATATTAATTGGTAGGGAATTGAGATTTCCATTCCCCGCAGAGAACGGGGACGAGGAGGGACCTCCGACCCCGCGAGGCTCGTTGACATTCATACTTTAGGCAGCAAGTGTACTGTATGGTCTGTACCTTTTTCAGCTATTCAATCCTTCCCAAACATAAATAAATACTAATACTAATTATAATTATTTTTTATTGTAAAAAAAAAAGTAATAATAAAATTTTTAAATTAATTAATTAATATTATATAATATACATATTCTCAAATATTTTTTTAATAAAATAATGATATATTTTTTATTTTACTTCAATAATCTTTATAAATTACTTTTTAAATTTAATTAAACCACTTAATTAAT